TGAGACTGCTTCACTTTTCATGCAATATTTAGTTAGAACAATACAAGACAATTTTGTCAGACTGCTTCACTTTTCATGCAATATGTAGTTAGAACAATACAAGGCAGTTTTGGGAGACTGCTTCACTTTTCATGCAATATTTAGTTAGAACAATACAAGACAATTTTTTCAGACTGCTTCACTTTTCATGCAATATGTAGTTAGAACAATACAAGGGAGTTTTGTGGGACTGCTTCACTTTTCATGCAATATGTAGTTAGAACAATACAAGACAGTTTTGTCAGACTGCTTCACTTTTCATGCAATATGTAGTTAGAACAATACAAGACAGTTTTGTCAGACTGCTTCACTTTTCATGCAATATGTAGTTAGAAGTCATTTTTAGAAGCAATAGTTTATTGCAGGTTTGTTAACATATCTGTTTATGAATAATAGGTTGTGTAGTTCAATCGTTGTGAGTGCCAATTGTTGTATTATTGCATCATTTTACTAGAAACTTCTAATTTTTTCTCGTTGTTTTAATTGAATATTGCTGCATCATAATATCTTGATGTGTGTGGAACGTTCTAGGCTTCTATTGGGCTATAATTACACTTACAAAATGTAGGTCGAGACAACATGGAACCTATTAATCCATCTTCACTGTCCCATCCTCTAAATTAAAATTATTAATAAATAAACTTAAAAAAATCATAAAGCCAGTCCGTATCATTTATATATTTTTCAAGATTTCTCTTAAACTAACTTAAATATACTTCCTCCACAACATTGAAGGCAATCCATTCCAAAGGCCAACCATCCTGTTAGAAAAATAAAACTGTCTTAGCTGAAGATGACTCCTACCCTTGTGTCTCCTAGTTCTACTATTCTCACTGTTAAGTATGAAAAAAAGAAGAGGATGCATCAACACTATCAATACCCCTTTACAATCTTAAACACCTCAATCAGATCCCCCCACACTCTTCTTTATTCAAGAGAAAACAAACTCAGAGATTTCAACCTCTCCTCGTACGACAACCCCTCCATACCAGGCACCATTCTAGTAACCTTTTTTTGCCCCCCCAGTTGCACAGCGATATGTCTGCGGACTTAAAACGCTAGAAACCAGGTTTTCGATACCTGTAATGAGCAGAGCACAGATAGCCCATTGTGTAGCTTTGTGCATAACTACCAACACTAAAGTCTAAACCCTTTCCAACAATTCAATGTCTTTCGTAAGGTAAGGAACCCAAGACTGAACACAATATTTCAAAACTGGCCTAACCTGTGACCTACACAGTGAAATTATAACCTCTTTAGACTTGTATTCAATATTACTGAAGATACAACCTAAAATCTTATTTGCCCTACCACTAGCAACAGCACACTGTTTGCATAGCTTTAGAGACTGATCAACTATTACACCAAGATCCCTTTCTTTCATGACACTGTTAAGGTTGTTTCCATCCAAATTATACTTATAATTCAAATTATGATAATCCACATGCATTATCTTGCATTTATTATAATTAAGACCCATTTAAGATTTATTTGCCTAACTCAATAAATGATCTAAACCCTTTTGTAAATCAGCAATATCCTCTTCACAGCTAGCAACACCCAAGATTTTAATATCATCTGCAAATTTAAGTAATTTATTGACCATTCCTTCATCTCTGTTATTGATGTAAATCAAAAAGAGCAAAGGTCCCAAGGCTGAGCCCTGAGGTTTCTCAATTGTGGCATTAATCCAGTTTGATTGAACTCCATCGGTAACCACCTTCAGCTTTCTTCTATCCGCAACTATTCTATCCAATTTGCCAATTTATCCCCTCACACCTGTAGAGATATTGTTTTACTAGCCTTTTATGTGGCCCTTGTCAAATGTTTTCTGAAAATCCAATTATACCAAATATACACTCTTATCCTCATCTACATAAGCAGAACTTTTCAAAGAAGGTCAAAAGATTTGTAAGGCAAGATTTTCCCTGAATGAAACCATGTTGACTATTCAATAGAATTCTAAACTTTTTTAAATGACTTTGCAACACATCTTTTAACAGACTTTCCAAACATTTTCCCACAACTGATGTAAGACTAATGGGTCTATAATTACTGGGACAGTTTTTATCACCTCCCTTGAAAGAGGAGTTACATTAGCTAACTTCCAATCCTCTGGTACCT